AAAAGGCCCCTAAGAAAAAGTACTTCCAGTGTATAGGACACTTTTATGCACGTCCCTTCCCGCCCTAGAGAAGATTCATCCTCAAATCCCGAAGGCGTTTCAAGCGCGCTGGAGCGATGAATCGAATTTGTCTAACCGTATTTACCTCCGGTTCTCAAGGGGAATTCATCCCGGTTGAGCTGGTACACAGCTCGCCGGGAGGGATTCCTCCCGGCGGTGTGGCCTCTCTTGGCACCGGGTATCCCTTGGGATACCCGGATATCCGCCAGGATTTCAGGGGGAATGGGACATCCACACCCGCTGGCGGATATCCGCCAGCGGATAGCGGATATCCGCAACGGATTATCCCGGACCATCTCTACCAAATGACACTGACTACCATTGGACACATGAATATCTCTGCAATGATTGCTTTATTGGCAGCTTGTGAGACAGAATCCAAGTCAATTAAACACTCAAAAGCGTGACTTGAAAAATTCAGCCTTTCCCCCTCTGACACCCCCTGCTGCGGCTTCAAGAACCTGAGGGGGGTGATTTTTATTTTGTTGTGCTCAAGCTTCAGCCTTTATACAATGTTTTACTTTGCTGAACTTCCACCCATAACCATTAACAATCCATTGCCATGGTTGCTTTCAGTTTCAGGGTCATATGTGATGTTGCCCATACTTTGTGATCCCACCATGTCATTGTGGTTTTTACACCGGCTTTTTACAATAGAGCAAAAACCATCACAGGGGCTGTGTATCAACATAAACACAATGGTGCTGCAACCTGCTGCAACCTGTCCATGTGGCAGTCCAAAATACACCCTTTTTCAGTTGGTCACTGTTGAAATATCGCTAAACTGACCTTGTAACTTAATGGAATCCAAAGATACAGAAGGGTATCCATTGGATTCCAAAAATCAAATCAAAGCTCTATCTGTCTGTCTGTTAACCAGGCCCTAATAATTATGAATTTCAAAAATAACAAAAAAAAATGTTTTCTGTTGAGTGCAATGAATCAAAAAGACCTTGAATCCTGTATGATATCAGGCTGGGGGTCCAAGAAAACACTCCAAACTTTTGGAGTGAATCTCAGTACACTCCAAATAACTTGGATTGAGCAGGATTTTCACCCCTAGAAATACCTGGGAAGTAAAAACACTGGAGTGCATGCAGGGTATACACTCCAAGATTTACAGGAGTGCAAAGTGGTGCATTTCACATTCTTTGGAGTGCACAAACATGTACTCAAAAATCATCTGCAAGTTCTGCTCCTTTGTTGGTGCACTCCAAGAAATTCTGGAGTGCAGGGTAGTGAGTGCACTCCAAGAATCCTTTGAGTGCACACCTTTTTTTGGTGTGCGTGGGGGAAATCTTAGGTGTGCTAACAGGCAGACCGACCATCCCAAGATTTCCATTGACACAATTTATTGATGTTGAAGATGGAAGAGTTGAATTTAATTTTTCAAAAAATATGCAATATTTCAAAGTTTTTTATTTGGATTACACAAGCTGAATATATTGAGTCAAAACCCACATGAATAAAAAAAAGCCATTTTGCTTTGTATTCTTTTGTGGCCACACGATCAAGATTACAAGGGTACAGAAAATGGAATAGAACAAAAGATGCACATTTGCAGAAACAACAGTTTGATTATTTTTATAGGGTGATTGAAGTAAATGCAAAATGATGCCATGCACTGAACTCAACTTTGGGCCTATAAGTCTCTCTAAGAGAGTGTTCCCTGTAGCACGCTTGCAGAGAGGCTGCTTAAGCTCGAACGTAAAAATCAAATTCATGAAAGATAACTGGAGAGCCCCTGCTAAGGGGCCTGAGTGAGGCAGAGGAATCACCACCCCCTACCATCCCCAATCAAAAAAAAAAACTTCAACCTCCTAAACCCATCCCCTGCACCACTGAATCTATAGGGATGCAGTCAACCAAGAGCGGACAAGGTGGAACTGGAGGCAGTTCAAACTGGCCAGGAGTACTGC